GATACGCCAAATCAATCAAAAATTTTTTTTTTCAAAATTTGATATTCTACAATTTATTAATCTTTGATTATTTTCAATTATTTCATCGAATCAGAGTATCTTTAGACAATTGAATATTCTGTGTCAACTGAATAGTTTTCAATCGTTAATTTTACCACAAATTTCAGACACGTATTGATGTCTTTTCGGATCTAGTGTAGAAACAACACTACCTCGATTGAAACAATTGATTACATGTGACTATCCATTAATAAAACCATTGAATAATATGAGATATTTAACAATCACACATTGTTACTGTCATAATTTGGAATATTTATAAAGTAAAATGACCAATATGTATTCTTTGAATATCACTTTATCTCTCAATATGTCTACACATTGGTCTCAGAAAGTACCAATAATGAATCATTGAAGACAATTGACACTTTGCCTTCAATATAGTTAAGATAGTCTTTATAAATCTAATGCTAAGAGAGTGTGATTTAAAAGTTCCGAGGTCAATATTGAAGATGTTAAGGATATAATCGATGGAAATCAATAGAAATATTTAGTATCACATTTTCAAACATTTGATTTTCGTTTTCGTCTTGCTCATCAATTGAACCAACAGATTCTTGATTCATTTTGATCTTCATTTTGACTCGAATAAAAAAGATAGTTTGTTGCTTACGATGATCTTCAATCATCATCTTGTCTTTTTACGGTACCCCGTTTTCTATCAAAAAATATTATTTACTCACTGAACTATGATACACCATCATGTACATATATCGGATTTATGTCTTGATCAATATGTTGATATTCTCAATGTACCAACAATTCGTTCATTGATGCATCATTTTATTAATATAACATCGCTCATACTTCAAACAGACAAAGATCTTTGTTTAGCTAGAATTTTATCATACTTAGCATTGCCTCAATTGAAATCTCTTTCATTGGTCAATACATTGTTACTTAGTCAATTATTGACAAAAACAAGATTTGAATCGATACGTTCCTTGACGGTAGATACATTGGAGATAAAAATCTCACACTGAATAAATATGTATTGTATTTCCACGAATCGAACGTTTAAAAATCGGTTATTGTTGATTGATAGATTGAAAAATTTGTCATTGGTCACATTTATTAATCATTAACCATTGATGTTCACGAATATAGCATATGAATGGTTTCTTGAAAATTCTTCACAATTTAAAGAAAACAATAACTTTATATGTAATATCAATAAAATTGAAATACACTTGTCGATAAGTGTCGAATAATGATAAGCTACTTTCGTTGCAAATCGAATAAAATATCAATAATATTATATTTGCTTTCAGTTAAGTACATATTTAATCCCGAACATAATTATGATATTTATGTGTTCTTTTGTCGAGAGATTTTACTCTCTAATTTGATATATATGTATCGAATATTCGCAAATTAAAAGAAAATAAAATTCTTATTATCTAACTTATTCGAAAATGTATAATTTTGTTTTCAGTCAAGGTTTTAGCATTGTGATAAAAGTAAAAATTTAACTATAGAATTGAAGAATTTTTCGGAATTATCTTTTGCATTTTAATATTGAACAATTATGAAAAACTAAATGACAAATAGATATAAGCAAAATCCAAGCTTAAGTAGCGTGTAACGAGTATCTGCATTCACATAAATACATGCATTATTGAACATGTAATATGAACTACGAAATTGTGAGATTATAACGTTGTTTCATCTTCAACATAATATAGATTAGACAAGAAGAAATGAATTACAGCATAACAGTTAATCCTAAAATATTCGTAGATATATATAGAGATAACCGTATTGTTTTGCAACTATATGTGTACAATAACCTGTAGTACATTGCTGATAAAATGCCCTATATGAGATATTAACGTTCCATTCTTCAATGAAAATTTCCTTTACAATATACAAACATAATTATAGTTGTATTTAATTCAAAACGACTTGGTTACATAGAATTTATAGTCAATATATAACTTGATAGATTAAAATAAAATGAACCATTCACAGTAATTAATTTTAAATTATTAATAGATATTTGATGGTATAGACATTCGAATGTTGATCGAATTAATGTTTCAATTATTGAACATGCTGTATGAAAACCAAGTATTTTACATCATTGTTCTGCAGAATATAAACGATAAATACTTTTAGCACGAACATCATCACTTCGTTTTTCATATGAAAAAAATTCAGACGGCGAAATAGCACACGTAGAGGATATGGTTATGAGTGTGGATGTTGTAAATATAATGATTTATACTCACACTCAAGAAATTATTGAAGAATAACACAAATCTTTTTGAACATAAAGACCAAGTGAATATTTTCGTCGAATGCAACTATTATCACGGAACTGTGACTTTCCTCAAGCAATCAATGAACTCCATTTTGCTGAACTAACTCTACGCTAAAAAGATTTCGCAACGCATGAGATAACTCATGTCGACATATTACATTCAACATGATTGAACGACAACAACAAAAAAGGAATGTTAGAAAACAAAGACAGAATTAGCAATGTCTTCTTTATTAATGTTTAAGATTGATTTTGGTAAAATGTTTCTACAAATTTGAATTCAAACTAGAGAAAGTTTTCTATTCACAACCAAGTAATAAAAGAGTTTGTTGAGTTTTTTTTTTTGTATAAAAATTATGTAACATCAAGTCCAATAACGAAAGAACTTCAGATAAGTGCCATTCATCAGTTTTATAAGGAAAATTAAATAATCTTTCATTAAAAAATCTTGTTTTTTGACTGGTAATGTTCAACATAAAAGTTATTCAAATAAAAGAATCTATTTTTTTTATTCATTTCTCAAAAGTACTTTGTTTTACTTTTTAATCTTGATTCAACATCTTTCAATTTTTTTTAATGGAATATTTTAGAACATTTTTATTGAAATTATCACATATTAATTATATATGAGTGAAGTATTCATTTTGAAAAAACAACGCACGAAATGTTTGAATATTCAAATATACCATAACAGATTATTCCAAATGGTAATAATTACAAGTTAAACAAACATATCATTATATATAGCGCAAATGCATGAACTTATTTTCAACAAATATCTTCTTCGTTATAATTATACTTGTTGTTAATTCTAAAGTAAATATTTCTTGATAGATATTATGAAGAGTTAAGACAATTATATGTAAAAATTATACTATTTATCAATATATTCAATAATAATTATCAGCATTATGCATTATGATTAGAGTAAGCTGACTTTTCCCTGAAATATATTTTTAGATCATCTATTCATTTTTACCACATATTGCTTAATAACAGACATAATCAGTCACATAAAATGTAAATGCCATATTTGTTATCATTTTAAATTCGTACAAGATATTTATTTGTTTAGTAAAAATATTTATTTATCTGATTCATTTTTTAATATGAAATTAATATGTTTAGGTTAAATTTCATTAGAAAATTCTTATTTGGATGACAAAACAAAAATGTTAAATTATTGTTTTTAATGGATACAAAATTTTTCTTGTCTTTTTCATTTATTGTGTCCAAAAATTTTACAGAAACTATTGTTTAAAGTGTTGAAGGATGAAAAATTCTTTCATTTTTTTTCAAAACTTCATAAATTTTCAATAGCTATGTGATACTTTTCGTTTTTTCATTGGAATGTACAACGTATTTCAGTATGTTACCTACTTTGAAGCTAAAAGCAACATTTTTTTCTAAAAAAAAATGAAATATATAGTTTTGTAGAAATATTTAATTAATTCGATTCAATATGATTTACTCGTTATTTCATTATTTTGTTTGTTTATAATTGAATCTATCTCGAATCTCTCCTAATTTCTATTCATTGTATAAAAAGTTAGTCAATTAACATGCCTGGCAGAGAATATTGAGTAATCCACTTTATATGAAACTAATCTCGTGATTAAACGAAAGAAGCAATGAAATGAAATTTTCTTAACTTTTATGCATCAACTATTTATTTATATAGTCTAAGCAAAATCAGCAAATGCTAACAGAAATATACACATTTCTCTATCGTTATGATAAATATAAGGGCATCTTTAAATGAACAGAGATGTGAAAACAAAATTTAGAGAAATGATTAAAATTCTTATTTCTACTGAAACAAAAAAAAAACAATAATTTTAATAGCTAAAAGAAAAATTGATAGTCAATAATATCAGCATCAGATCTCTTCACAGTCAATTCATAAAAAGATATACAGTAAAACCTTCCACTGTGAATACCTTCGTATAGTGAACGCTCTGAAATACTACCGAGGGATTTTTGCTGGAAATGAACCTCTCTTTTGTGAACACCTCTATACTCTGAACTGTGAACGCTTGTTTTCATTTCCACCAGCAAGAATGATCATTCCAATGAAAAAACGAAAAGTATCACATAGCTATTGAAAATTTATGAAGTTTTGAAAAAAAATGAAAGAATTTTTCATCCTTCAACACTTTAAACAATACACTAGTCGACGATCTTGCCTCACTTCTTTCCAGATTCTTGTTTTTCTTGGTTATCAGCCAAGATTCTTTCGTCATTCCTTCTATACAAGATTCTTGCCTGAAAAAACAGATCTTGACTTTCTGACAAGATTCGTGTAGACCGAATCTTGTCTGACGAGGCAAGAAATACAACGTCAGAGAAGATTCTTGTGTTCTTGTATTCTTGACTGATTCTTTTTTTTCTTGACTTCTTGTCTGACTCTTTTTTCTTGCAATTCTGAAATGACTCTTTTTTTCGTGGATTCTTGCCTGAATCTTTTTCTTCATAATTCTTATCGATTCTTGCGATAGAAACAAGGTGTGTTAGCATCAAGATGCTACTATTCTTTCGTTACTATTGTATTTTTATTATCAGGTTCAATAAATACACAAAAAACATGGGCAAAAAGTAATACAAAATATACGTCATTTCAAATAAAGAGCAAAACGTTAGACAAATATAAAAAAAACTAGCACCAAAAAGCTACATTTCAGATTTCATTGTCGTTGTCATCATCTTCGTCGTTACTCAATGATGATAATGGTTGACCTGCTGTCGAAGTTCCTTGATTTGATAAAGTAATGGACGATCTAAGTGAGAATTTTCTCTTCTTTTCGTCATGCTTCATTTGTTGTAAAGAGTTCTTGATTGATTGACTTTCTGTAAGGACAGATGAAACATTTAATTGATGAATTCGAGCAAGAAAACCTGAAAATATAGATTTGAAATAATAAAGTGATCATTGAATGTTTCGTTCATCTTACCCAAAAGAAGATCAAATTCTCCTGGAGCTAAATCATTGAATGATGCTTTTTCACCGTATGCAGCACGAACTAAAGATCTAGCTGTTATATTTAACGAAGGACCACGTGAGACATGACCTAAATTGATTCCGTTTAATTCCTAAAAAAACAAATACGAGACAATTAAAGTACAAAAAATTCCTTTAATTGTCAAGGATATTGCAGTGCCTAAGATTTTTGTGCAACTTCCACTTTGTGGGACATCACAAAGGACAATTAAGCATAGTCTTCTGCCTAGCATTTTCACTCACCATTATTAAACCCTCTTCATCATTTTGTTGTGATGTTTGTAATACTTTAGCTTGCTGAAACGATAAAAGAAAAAGAAAAAGATGTAACAACTTATAATCTCTGCTTACCATACGAACAATTTGAGATAATTGTTGAGCTGTTTTTTGTAATTCACGTGGAGAACTGAGCGATTCTTTGATTAATTGTGTTTGTTCTGTCATTTGTTTCAACATTTCTTTTACTAATTGATTTGTTTCTTCACATAACTTCATCAATGGCTTCAAAATCTGATTAAAACCTAAAACTGAAATAAGATTAATTATGGAACACAAAAAATATCTATCATATAAATAACTATTTTGTGTTGTTTCAGAAATGGACCTTGTAGGTGGATTCACTGTTCTTGAATTAAGTGTATTTTCACCACCAGAAAGATTACCTAAAATTTAATAATTAATAAAGAACTTTTGATAAATTTTTCAGTAGGAATGTACTCATCATTGCAGCAGCTGTATTTTGAACAGCTGGATTAAATCGTTTACGAGGAAGTGGCGCAGTTGATGGAGCAACTAATGTACTAGCAGCAGGTCGTCGCTTTTTCACCGGTATTTCTACGAATAAATTTTCATTATTCAAAATATCAGATGTCCTTATACTCACCAGTTGATGTGACAGGTGCTACATAATTATTATGGTTGCTTGTAATTGAATTGTGCATCGACGATAATGGTTGATTAATAGGTTGATGAATATTAGACCTTGAATCACGTACATGAGATGATGATGGACCTGCTAAAAACAGAAAAACGTTTCAGTTACTGATTTTAAAAAGCATTAATTACTAAGTTTATATTTACTAAATAGAAAAAGTGCGAAAAATTGACTTACGATGATTAATATCAATTGTTGATTGTGAATTACATATGAAAGACATCGTTTGCATATCATGATATGATTTATCTGAATATTCTTGAGATAATTGTCGTTCAACATTTTCATCATTAGTGTTGAGTGGCAAAGAATTATACATCATAACGAAGATCGAAGATAGAATAACCAACCACGAATTATAAAATAAATATTATATGACAATATACTTCTGAAGAGAGAAATAGATTAGCATTATCGTATTAATTTTGATCTGAGTCATAAAAAATCTCAGACAATAATATTTGTTCAGACATATGTATCACAATGCACTTATAGAGAACTGAAGAAAAAGGAACAGAAACAAATTTTTTATCAGAAAAATTACATTTTATGTAGTATTTGTCCAGAAACTTAGTAACAATCGGAGAAAATGACCACTGTTTTACATAACTGTTTGAAGAAAAATAATTAACAGCAGCATCATACATATTTATGAACGCATAATAAACATCGAACAATTTATAAAAAAATATCACTTGTCCGAAACATTTGTTTTTTTGGTCATCATAAAACGATACTACGAAACTTTGCGTATTACCACGTCTTCGATAAGACAGAGAATGAAATTCAGAAATTCCTCTAGATGCACGACAATAAAAAGAAAGATGAGGATTTTCTATTGAATCAATAATACTTGTGACTGTATCGAGAAATTGTGATTGATACTTTAAAATATACTGTCTATCTAAATAAGCATCATGTATTAATTTCTCATCTACAAAAATATTATTGATCGATAAGGTTTCTTTTTTAGTAGTACAACGCGATTCATCAAATGAACGACATATCTGATGAGCAATCAACCTATTACCAGATCGCAAAGAGCGAACAAAACGAAAAAAGCTTTCGTTACCGAAACAATTATGAAAACATAGTGCACCGTTACTAGAGACTTTTTCTACTAAGTGCAAATGCGCGTGTGTTGAATATAAATAAAATGTCAAGTCATAAATAGATTGCGCATGTGCATAATACAATTTTATAAGTGATTCAACTTCCATGACTTCGCTATAGTCATGGTAGAAATACAAGGTACGAAGAAATACAAAACACAAAGAGAAATGAGAAGAAATACGTTCAGGAAGAAATGAAAGAGCAAATGGAAACATCAAATAGAGAAAAAATGAACGATAATCATGGGCTTTCCAATATGATCGATCAGAGAATGAGCGCAACTCAACATTAAAATTATGTGGCCATTTAATTCTATTTAGAAAATCATTACCTGAGTACCAAGCTTCTTTCACAATTATTTTTTCCCATTTTGATAAAAGCAAAGAGCAATGTCCAATAAAACATAAATGCATAGCATCAAGATCTATTTGAGTTGGAATTTCCAATACCTTTGCTAATGGACTAACACCTTTTACACCATAACAATTATTATCGGAGGTTTTTTGACTAACTAATTTTGCACAAATGCCAATACTTGTTGACGTACGAAGGTTTACTAAATTATGAGTCAATGGATATAGAACGATTCGACCCTCCTCACACCATATACCTTCTTGATCACATTCAAGACACGCATAATATCCATTGTGATGCACGTGTTTAGTTGCTAAAGCACGAGCTGGTAAATCTGCTTTAAATAATAATATATCAACTGAAAATTTAATACCATCAACAATTAAAGTTTGTTTAATTGTGTCACAAACTTCGTTTAGTAATGAATCTGCATCTGGTTTAACAGGTCCATTCCTAAAACAAAAAGGATAGTAATATCGATGCTTATTTGAACATATTCTTTAGGAGAATGACAATACATATGTTAAAAATGGGGAAAGAGACTGAATTCTTGTTATCACCCATGTAGAACAAAAACGACTCAGAAATAGATCAGAATCTACTATTTTCAGATTAATAATTCGTTATTATAACACTATTTTTAATCTGATTACAATCATTTTTCAGTATTAAAAAATTTAATTTAATTTTAATATTTTTTAAACTGTTTTAATCGATTACCAGAATTGAATCCATTGAAACTTATTATTAATTTTTTTTAATTGGTTCAAATAGATTAAAAAGGACTGAAATCAAAATAAGTTTTTCTATTAATGCAGAAAAGTCTGATTTTAATCAGATTAAAATAGTGCAATTATTTTAGATTCTAATCTGGTTTATAGGTGTCTTTTTTTACATAGATATCAAAAGAATATTTTTTTTTTCATTTAGCATTGAGAATTATTCACTTTTTAATGACCATATGATTCAAAGATGGTATAACTAAGTTACAAATAAAAAAGAATCTTATATACCATAAAGATAATAATAAAAGATTGAATTGATTTTCTCTAAGTGGTGGTGGAATTTCCACTATGGACGCTGTTACCAACCACGTATGTTTTTTAGTCCAATGAACAATAGGTGTACTATCTATATGTAACATTAATGTGATAGGGAACATGTTGTTGGATATTGTTTGAAGGTTTTTCTTTTTCTTATGATAAACTAATCTTGTCATAACATCACATGGTAATAATTTTTCAACAAGTTGTGGATAATTTAATATTAACTGTTTGTTTCGACGAATAATTTCAATCAATTGTTTATTTGATCGACCAACAGAAAGGTGTTCAATAATATCACCTACACGTCGTTGAGTTTGATTTTGTTCACAAGTTATAGAACAACAATTATTATTATTAACAATTTCTAAACATTTGGTACATTTTAACACTTTGGTAAATGATGAGTGCTCTTGAAAAATTGAAACTAGCTTTTTATATGATTTTACTAATTTATTTCCGATTGGTAAGGCATTGTCAATCAATTTTAATAATTTGTTCATATTGGAATCATTCAATTTAACTAAATTTCCAAACTCTAATATTTGTTTATGATAACATCTAAATGTAATTGATGCACCATTATATAATGGTTCATCTACTTCTTGTTGAACCATTTGTTCTAAAAAAACGAAAAAAGTCACTTGAATAAGTTTCCCTTTAAAATAGTACTTGAGCAATCAAAAAATTTTTGAAACTCATCATAATTATGAAAATATAGAAATTATTTATTAGGATTTCAAATAAATATCCTTGAAGTTTAATAACTACATAATACGAGAAAAATGGTTAGAAAAATTATAAATGAACAGGAAAAAATAAAGTGCTTTATCCTACCAGTTAATTCAACAAAACCTGAATTTAAATCAATATTGTAATCAGCTTCATCATTAATAAAATTATCTTCAAAATTATCATTTTCATCATTGATAGAATCATCTTCAAAATTACCATTTTCATCATTGATAAAATTATCTTCAAAACTTTCAGTATCAGATGATAGATTTATATTTTGCTCAATCTAAAACCGCAAAAAAAGGTTAAAAATATTCGACATAATATAGAGCAGTTTAAAAAAAAATATTTACAGGTTGTTGTACAGTTGTATGAGATAAAGATAATTCTATTGAGTGAGGCTTGTGTTTTCGACGTGCTCTCCATCTTCTTTGTTTTACTGTATGTCGTGATGGTTCTAAAAAAAAGAGAATACGTGACTCGAAAAAAAAAAGAATATTATAGGTAAAAATTTAGACTACCTAAATCAGGAATAATATTACAAAAAAAAACACTAATTGAATATTCTTGATCGAACTCCATAATAAAAAAAA